AAATAATAATTTTTTTTTCTAAATTTTAAAATTAAATTGTCAATTTTATCCTTCATCCAATTGAAAAAAATTACAAGAAAAAACATAAAGCGTATAGATTTTCAATGGCATCCTCTCAGGTCATCTCTCTATACCCAACTCTCGCTACGTCACTACAACTCTCCATCTAACTTACCCCAATCCACTGTAACCCCCTCACCCCCCAACCCACTGTAACCCATGTCGCTGCAACTCCTCCTCCAATCTTTGATCCTAGTTTGTGATCTTTGAATTTTTTTTATTTTTTTTGAGTTTGATTATGGTTCTTGACACAAAGAATATGCAAAAGATAGTGAGTTGATGGATGGCGTTTGGGAGGAGATGTACCAGAGGAGTTGGGTGGCTTTTGGCTGGTGTGTCAATGAGGGTTTTATGGTATTTGGGCTGGTGGTGAAAAGGGTAGGGATGGCAATTAACTAAAGCAGGGGTGGGGGTGTAGTATTTATCACTGTATCCGCTTAAAAAAATTTGTCCATCCTCGGTCCACCTCCATTAACAAGTATAATTTTTATCACTATTCCCGTCCACGGCTAAATTTATAATCCCCACCTTCACCCCTCGCCCAAGCCCAACATAAATCCAACATTATAAATAATCCAAACATTAAATATCACAAACTGAAAATTACAACATAATTCTTCTAATAAAAAAGAACTACTAGCATTTGGTATAGTGAGTAGGCAAGAATTCTATCCAGCATTTTTTAAGCAAAAAGTCTATCTAATAATTTTCAATGAGCAAAAATTATTTTCAAATAGAATAAACTCAAAAATTAGCAAAAAATCATATTTAACAATGTAATCAAAATTCAACAAAGACCATATTCAAGTAGTATATATATCACGGGATTAACATGGGCGGGGAAGGGGGCGAGGCGGGAATGGGACGGGGATAAATGTCAGTTCATCCTCGCCTCTATCCCTACACGAGTTTATACGGATATTTTGTATATATTTATCGTTTAATACGTATGATTAATTTTTAGTTCAAACAGAACGAATTTGAATGAATATCCATTTTCTCTGGTCCACTATCACCCCTATAAAGGGGAGAGTTTGGAACGGGGGCGGACCAGGCGAGGTGGGGGTGGGACATTTATGGTTTTTGAGAGAGGGGTCTGCCTATTTGTAAGTGACTCTTTTGGGTGTTACGTGGTTGGAATGGATGGCGTTACAAAAAGAAATTAGAAGATAAGTGAAAGGCATTTTAGTCTAGTTGCAAAAACCATTAGGTCAGTCATGATTTGAACTTTATTCACAAATAATAGGGGTTAAGTGTAACTCGTAATTTATGAAAGGAGGTGATATGCAACTACCGTTAAATTTCAGGCAGGTTTTGTATAATTTACCCTTGTTTTTATTATATTTATAGAATAAATATCATAATTAGTTCTTAAATTTTATTATTTATTTTAAAATAATTCTTAAACTTTTAAATATCTCAATTTAGTCCATTAACTATTAATTTTATGTCAATAAAATCTTTCCACCTATTTTCCAAGTTAGATTTAATGGAGCCAGATCCAGGTGTTTGTCACGTAACTGTCCACGTCATATACTTTTATTTGTTTTAAATATTGAAATTAACAAAAAGAATTAATTAAAACAAAATTGAAAGTAAAGGGGTGAAAGTTTATTGTTTATTTTATAATGGGAATCAAGACTAATTATAATATGGACAATTTTTTTATTAAGGCACGTCTGTCCACGCACCAATTCTCAGCTATTCATGACTTTCGGGCGTTTCATTCACAAACTCGCCCATTAGCGTGGCAATTTCCTGCTACCAAACGTTGAATGACACTGACACCCGTTATCTCCTCCTCCTTCTTTCTCTCTGTCACACACCCCACCGTTCACTGCCTACTTTATAGCTTTTACTGTGGCTCTGTAAACTGTTATTTCTTCTCTAATCAATGCACCAGACAAGTGTTTGTCGGTGGACTCGATGAATTTTTCAGAATTTCCTTCATTCATGTGCTTTTCTGCTTCACAGTTCGTCTTAAATTGTGCTCTTTCTCATTCCTCTTAGCTTTTACACTTGAAAGTTTTTCGGTGCATTCAAGTCTTCCACCCATTATTCTCTTCTTTGATGGCGATCATGGTGGGTGACCCATGAACAGTATCAACAGCTTCGTCGTAAACTAATCCAGGTGAGCTCTTTATAGCTTGGACCAAGTACCAAAACCTCAATTTTACTTACTTTGTTTGGGGTTCTAGTTCTAATGGTAGCTCGCATCTGTTTCCCCACATTCTCTTTCACTGTTCTTGGCCGTTTTTTGTATGTTTCTTTCCTAAATGTCAACATGCATATCTAATAATGCATTATATATTTCAGAATATTATAATATTTTTTTTGGGTTTACTTGTGATTATTAATCAGATTAAAAATTTCAGAGCTCATTGTTAAAATTGTTGACTTTGTAAATTGGGCATTACAGTTTCTAGTTGTATTTTTCGAACAAAGAATTTGTACTTGCAATTTTCTGATATATTTGTCTCTTAGATAGCAGCATTAACCAAATAATCTCTGTTTGTTGAGATCATTCATGTCCCAGTGAAGTGAGGCAATGATCCAGGGATTAGTTTGCTTTTGGATACGTATGATGCTCCCCCCCCTCCTCCTCCTCTACCTCTCTCCCTCTCGTAATTATAATTCACTCTCAGATAGCCAAATTTAGTACTTCTGTCTTTAGTCATGATTCATGAGACCATTATGATAATATGCTCTCCAGTGGTAGATTTTTTTTCAACTTCAAGGCGCTGATCCGAAGGAATTTGTTGATTAGTAACTGTACCTGATACCCTTTTCGTGTGCTCTTGTTTTTATGCTGTTAGCTTCTGCAATAGGACTCTCAGTTTCATTCATCCTGCTTATAAGGTGCATCTGTTGAATATTAGACATTGATTCTTGTGGAAATGTCGATTTCGCTGCGTATACATCACCTGTCACTGATCACTCTAATTTATGTGCCTACTTTACCTAAGAAGGTCGGCAATCCTTCGCTTTTAGCCCCTTTTTCGACTCGACTTTCATGACAAACAATGCCTCAATGCAGAGAGGGATTTGCTTCGTTATTTGTGAGATACTTTGGAAGTTCTTCCATTCAACTCACCTGAAATTTCTATCTGATACGTGGTCAATAATGATCCGTGGTCTCGGTTTCTTTAATGATTTGTTTTTCCATTTTGTTTCGGTTAACTTCTGACCATTTGTTCCCAAACTCGACAGGTTGTTTGATCTTGTCTGCTTTCCTGCGTACGAGTGACATCACAGAGATCCATTTCTTGAAGAAAGGTAATTTAGAAATCATATTTTGAATTCATAGTTTTATTTTCTATTGCAATTAGTAAGTGGTTTAGTGAATACAATTTAGGGAGGTAACTCTATTTTGTCACTCACTGAATAGACATAGCTATCTTGAATGTTGATGCCGGAACTAATCACTTGACAAAGCATTTAGCCCTTGGATCTTAGACAGCTATGGTCTTTGGTAATATGAACTTTATTCAAAACTCGAATATAAAGGTGTGCTATTGCGAGGTCCTGCTTAATTCATTGTTCTATTTTGTCTTGTGTAGTTAACCATGGAAAGCAAGACATGGCTTTGGAAGAAAAAATCTTCAGAAAAGACCATTGTTGCAAATGACAAAGCCGACCCTTCTTTGAAAGGAAATGGACAAGAGGTAACAAAGCTTCTCTCTTTTAGAATGCAATACAAAATTAAGCTCTTCTATGCTTTAATGCAATAAGGCTTTATGCGGAAATGTTAAAACTTCAAAGTAGTTATTTTTTATGCAAGTGTAAAATTGCTATTGTTTTTAGCGTGAACTTTTGATCCCAAATCAGAGATGTTAGAATTTATTGGAGGCATAGCTAATGTTTACTTTTTTTTTTTTTGATAAATTAGCTAATGTTTACTTAATAACACACAGAAGCACCCAAATGAGAAAGAAATTGCTCTGGAAAAATCAGTGATGAATCTAAATGAGAAGTTGGCTTCTGTCCTCAGTGAGTGTGATGCCAAAGATGACCTCGTGGCAAACCATGCCAGAATGGCTCAAGAAGTCATTGCAGGTGATTACTGTTATCCTTGATTTTTCCAAATGATGATTATTATTCATGGTATTTGTTCTTTATTTTTCATTCTTTCCAGTTTTAGAATTATTTTTGGCATCTATAATTTGGTTGGTATTAGTTCAGGCCGGGAGAAGGCAGAGGCAGAAGTAGTTTGTCTGAAAAAAGAACTAGATGAAACATTACAGCAGAGAGTAGCTGCAGATGAAAGGTTAACTCACTTAAATGCCGCATTAAAGGATTGTATGCAGGTGTTAAGTTCTGTTAGAGAAGATCAGGAACAACGAATCCGTGATTCTGTAATGAAGACATCAGATGAATTTGAGAAGGCACATAAGAAATTAGAGGAAAAACTATCTGAAACATGTAAAAGGCTTGCAAACTTGACTGTTGAGAATTCTCGTCTCAGTATGGCCCTTCTAGGGAAAGAGAAATTGGTTGAGGATCTTAGTAGGTGCAAGTCTCAGGTAGAAGCAGAATTCAATACACTAATGGCCAGGCTGGATTCTACAGAAAAAGAAAATGCCTTTTTGAAATATGAATTTCGCATGCTTGAGAAGGAGCTTGAGATTCGAAATGAGGAGATACAATTTAGCCGTCGCTCTGCTGATGCATCACACAAACACCACTTGGATAGTGTAAAGAAGATCTCAAGGTTAGAAGCAGAATGTCAAAGATTGCGTGTCCTAGTGCGCAAGCGGTTGCCTGGTCCAGCTGCGTTGGCGAAGATGAAGAGTGAAGTTGAAATACAGGGAAGAAGTCAAATAGAGATGGGAAGGAGAAAGTTGAATCCCATGACCGGAGGTGTGAGAGACTCTACCACAGAAGGCTCTCTTGAAATTCCCAGTAAGAAGATTAGTTTGTTGATCGAGCAGTTATGTAATATAGAAGACGAAAACAAAATTCTCAAAGAAATTTTAGCCAAGAAAGATAATGAACTTTGTTCTTTGACAACTGTATGTGCTAGAAAAACCTCCAAATTGTCCCAGGTTGAAGCTCAGCTTGCAGAGCTTTCAAAAGTTCAGAAATCTATGCAATTGCAGCCAGCTTTGTCTGACACACTGTCAAATGAACTCTCTCTCGCCAGTTATGATGTAGGCAATGATGATGAAACTTATCATTCAGGATCAGTGGCTTCTGCTCTGATTTCAGAGCTAGAGTATTTCAGACAACGAAACCCCAGAAATACATCTGCATCTGAATGCAAAATGATTGGAGTTTCAGACATGAGCCTAATGGATGATTTCGCAGAAATGGAGAAGTTAGCAATAGTCGCTGTTGATGCCTCCCTAGGAAATTCGTATGCTTCTTCAGATGCGAGTTACAGGTTATCAGATTCCTTGACAAAGGAGGCATATAAGCATCATTTGTATTTGTCTTGTAAGGAACTAGTTCCAGTGGTACAAGGGGATCCCAATGACGGGCAACAAGAACTCCAAACAAGAGATGTATCATCTGGAAAATCCTGTGATTGGCTTCAGGATGTCTTGAAGGTGATCTTGGAGCAAAATCGTTTTTCAAAAAGAAGTGTTGAAGAACTTCTCGAGGACATTAGATTAGCTTTGCAATATTTGAATCACCGAGGTGCAAGTGAAGCTTATAGAGCAGGGATTTCAAAGCATCCAGAGCGATCTGAGGCGCTTCCAATAAGCGGTTATATTACTTGGAAATCTCCAAATGCATCTCCTAGAGTGGGTTCAATTAAAAAAACTCCTGATATTGGCACCACGATGCAAGAAACGCACAGTGAATATGTCCAATCCAATCTGAGTAGGTCAATCTGTAGAATGATTGAGCTTATCAGAAGGATAGATTCAACATGCTCAACGAACTGTACTGTGCCAGATAGTTCAGGTATAAGTCAGAGAACCTTACCACAGTTGCAGTCCACAATACCGTCAGACTACTTGGTTCATGTTTTCCAATGGAAAAGTTGTGAACTAAGAACTGTTCTAAGACAATTTGTTAATACTTGTACTGACTTGTTGCATGGGAAGGTCGACTTTGAGAAGTTTGCTGAGGAGTTGGCATCTACATTGTACTGGATTGTGAACAAATGCATTGCCTTTCAAGATGCTTCAAGTCTTAGAGAGAAAACCAAGGAGCATTTTGGTGATGATGAATCAGCATGTGCAAGTGAGTCTGGATCTGTGGGCAATTGCACGTTTTCACCATCAATTGTAGTTCACAAGTCTGAGGAGCAGTCATCGTTTTCCCCCTCCATTACTACTTCAAATATGCAAAATCTTATGTTCAGAATGGAGAAGATTCGCTCTAATCTGCAAGAAGAGAATGAAGGATTGAAAGAAGAGTTGAATAATATGAAATCCTCACAAAAAGAATTGGAGGCGATGCTGCAGTCGGCAAACAATAAGGAAAAGGCCTTGACAAATCAACTTCGTGAATCAGAACAAAGCATTGGAAATCTACAAACTGAAGTGGATACTATGAAAGAATCCAAAAGAATGATTGAGGATCAATTTGAAAATCAGAAGTTGATAAATGAAGATCTCGATACCCAGCTGAATGTTGCTAAAGCTAAATTAAATGAAGTTCTTCTGAAGTTATCTGCTCTTGAAGTAGAATTAGACGATAAAAGTCACTGCTGTGAAGACTTGGAAGGGACCTGCCTTGAGCTTCAACTCCAACTTGAAAGGTTTGCTTTCTTGGTTTTAGTTCTCTGCAGAAACTAAACCCTAAATTTGCCTTATTAAAGAAAGAACTGTCTGATTTCTGGAACATGCAATATGCAGTATTACCAACAAGGACATTCCAGAAGATGACATAGATCAAGAGGAGAAGCTACTCCAAACTGTAAGTTTCCTTTTTGTTGACAAAATCAACATTAGATTTCTGCAAAGAATGCCATGTGCATGATCAGGTACTTACGATCTTTCCCTGGTACTCCCTTAGTTTGAAAAAATTGTTGTGAGCCTCTGCTTTACAGAGGACCACCATAGTTAGATTAATTATGCACACAGGCACATTTTGTTCCGTTACGTTCAGTGTCCTAGTTTGTGCTGATTGAGTAGCATCAATGTGAGAGCTGTGCCTGTATGTTGACAACTCTGATTCTCACGTTCATATTGCGCTGTAGGTATACAAGACATTCTAAACATACAGTTGGACATTAATTAGAAAACTAAATTATCCCATCATGTTTTACATGTCCTTTTATGTGCAAGTACAGTATAGTGGATGGGGAATATCACATACCATTTCAGCCACCATCGAACTTTGTTGGGATGAAAGGAAAAATTAAAGAGAGAAATTGAACCAATGTCACTATATGAGGTCCTAAGTTAATTCTCTAATCGCCTTTGAAATCCGGTGTAAAATTTTGTGGGAGCATTTTAAGACCTGGGATGCTGAAAGGCATCCTTGATTATGGGATTGACATACCATGGAAATGAATATAGTATGGCTGGATTATGTAGAGAAGACCTCTTTCTCTCGACTCAATACCCATTTCATCCTCATACCTTCCAGAAAAAATACGCCTTTGCAAAAGTTAATTGTACTTAGATGATACCTTTTTGCATACACCTAAACAAGGTGGTCAAGGAATGAATTATCAGAGGCGGTCATAAATCAAAAAACTCGTTCAAATTTTGCAGGGCTGGGAGATTTCAGCTGCTTCTGCAAAGTTGGCTGAGTGCCAAGAAACCATATTCAACCTGGGGAAACAGTTAAAAGCGTTGGCTTCACCGAAGGAAGCAGCAATTTTTGACAAGGTTTTCTCTAACACCAGCGCCAACAATAAGAAGTTGATCCAGCGCTCATCCCTTCGTGATAGAATGCTGGCCGAGGATGGCGATGAACCAGTGGATTTGAATTCCCCGAAGACAAAAGAAATTATTAGCACTGCAGAAACAAAAACACCGACCATCATTCGTGCTCCTAATTTCCAGGTAGCGCCTCCAGAAGGATATCTTGCTTTGAAGCCTGAATTCAGAACTGTTGCAGTTGGAGCTCCTCTTGCAATTGTACCAAGTAAGAAACGGGGAGGACGGTTTGGTTTGCTAAGGAAGCTAATGCTTAAAAGGAAAAGAGGGAAGACATCGGTTTCTTTTGCCACTTAAGGCGTCGATGAAGCAAGAAAAAGAAACAGCATTACTTAATGTTTGCTAATCGATGATTATGGCATTCCTTGTTTTGCCAATGCTGCTTGTCAATAGGTAAGTATGCATGTCTTGTTTATACCTGATTTGCAGAGAGTGGATTGTATGATGTTCTTGATGTATATTTTTCTGTACACTTTTGGGGGACTATAATAGCAATAATAATCGAAAAGCATTGGCAGTTGGACTGTGGTTTCCAGGCAGAGCACACATTAAGGGAGTTGCATTTAGTAGTATAACATGACAAAGAGTAAACAGGAGTGATGACGGGTCCTGGACAGAGACTGTTCAGTTGTCACTTGAATCCATTACGGAAGTTATAATTTAACCTTTAAAAGTTGTAACTTACATTATCGATCATAATTTTTAAAATTGTAATTTGACCTTAGAACATAATTTTTTCGGTATGATACCTCCTTCGGTACTATCCTCATATTGTAGCTCTTACCAAACTGTCCAATTCATGAGAGAATATTTAATATACATTCATGATACCATGTCAGCATTGATGACATAGTATCACCAATCAATAATAAAATTTCAAATGAGTAAAGTGAATCTTACTTATGTAGTTATTGACTTATATGGAAGAATAGTGAGTAATTATTTACTTATATAGATGAATAGTTATTAATTTTTGTGAGGTCCGTTTCTTTATTTATTTATATATTATTAGTTAATTATATCACGTAATAATATTGATGTGGGGTTATAGTTAAATGAATATTTTTTCCCAATTCACTCCCTCCCAATTGAAGGAAAAACAAACAATGATTGGAGAGAGAGAGAGAGAAGGAGGGGGGGGGGATGTTTAAGAGGTGGAGGACTAAATGGTTGAATAATTATTTCTGAAGTGTTTTACAATGGTGAATTACTATGAATATTTGAACAAACAAGAGGTTCCACACATGCAAGACATTGACCAAGTCAAGGTAGTTCAATCTAATACGAACACCTCTTGACAAACTGGGTCAAGCAAACCCATGTATATCCCATTTGGATCCGACCCGAAGTCCAAGAACTCTGTTCTCTGCAATCTGCATGCTTAATGGACACTTATTTCCTCAGGTTTTGGTGGCAGTCTCTGCAGCTTTCTTCAATTCAAGCAAGGCTTCTTCAAAACAGCTAGCTAGAACTTCAGGGTCAGGGATAATCTCTTTGGCCACCAGGATTTGCATATCAGCTCTTCCTGCATAGCTCAACATGTGCATTGTAATTGCCTGCAGTACCAACATCAGAAAGATAGCCAACCTCCTGTTATATATTATCAATTCCAAACACATGCTGCCAATCGAGAAAACAAAGAGATTGAGTTTAGAAGCTGTACATGAGGTAGGCTTGATGTATTTGCCCGAATATACGTTATTGGATTGGCAGCAATCGTAATTTCCTCTCGAGGGCCAAGCACGTTTGAGATAGTAAATGTCGTGTTACAAAGTATTCTGTAGTTGAGCATGCACGCAAACTACAATGAAGACAAAATAATTAGCAGTTTACTCTTTTATGTGCTAAAACTGCATTGAAATAGAGCTTGTTCACCTTTGGTCCAAGGCAGGACATAACTAAGTACCCGATTTTGTAAGAGAAGAAAGCCTCTAATGACAGTTTCTTCCGGTCAATCATCGCCTTTGCTCTCGTTAGAAACTGTAGAGGATCAGTGCAACTTCTATGGTAATAAATAGGTAACAAGCATACCAAATTTGTTGCCCCACCGTGTCGCTGAATTGCTTCTCATCAACTTCGAAAGATCCTGATCATAAGTAGAGCATCGTTTCCATTCAAACCCAAAAATTGGATTTCAATAAGTTTGTTATGTTGAAGTACAAATATTTAAGTTATTAGTAAATGGTTGTTTAGCATGATATCAGAGCAAGAGATCCTGTATTCAAATCTCGCCGTCATCCTAATTATTAAAAGATTTTTACATGTTAGGCCTAAAATCTAGCCTATACGTGAGGAGATGTTAACTTAAACTTTTGGAGTACTTTATGATAAGTTTTTCGAGTAGATGATTGTTTAACCAGTTTTCCTCATTGGCTAAATAAATATCGCATACAGAGATAGAGAATGGTAAACTTTTGGAATAGATAGTTTTTTAACCTGGTAATCATCGGATAAACGAATATTGCATACAAAGACAGAGAGAGTGACAAAATTTTAAAGTAAATGATTGTTTAACCTGTTAATCATTGGATAAACAAATATTGCATATATATATATATATATAGAGAGAGAGAGAGAGAGAGAATGGTACCTGCAATCCTGATTGTGGCCTTAGATTGACCATGGCAAGTCCTGTCATTTGAAGCCCCTCTCGCAGAGCTAGAAAGAGAGAGAGAGAGAGAGTTAAAACTCAATTTAGTTAAGTTGATGAAAAATGTCATTAACAATGGAATGTAAATGCAAAGGCATTTTACCTTTTGGGGTTCGTAGATCCAGATATTTTGAAAGGCCAGATGAAACCACCCCGAAAAGAACGTCGTTAATGGTCTGCAATGTTTTGTTCAATTTACACATTATTAAGCAACAAGAATGGAAGTTAAACAATTGCATGATCTAGTTATAATTTTTTATCACCAAAAAAAATTAGTGCCTTAGGTACCGTTTAGGAAGTACGGATACTTTCCCCAAGGTGTCGTGCCAATGTTCAACATGGCCGAACACAGTTAGATAGCATTGTTTTGTTTTGAATAGTAAACTCAGTCAAACATAACCAAGATACGATTAATATATATCTAAGATACGGTTATGATATCACCATATTCAAAAAAAAAATTATTAAAAAAACAACCATTAACTATTAAAAGAGGCGTGTTTCTATTTTTTTATTATTTTAACTATTATACTAAGAATATAACGATGTTTGATAAAAACAATGAATATATATTTTGATCTATTTCAATTTTAAGAAAAAAAAATATTTGTTAGACCTTATTATTAATATTGTTATAATATATGTTTTATTATTATTATTATTATTATTATAATATATTACAATTTTATTATTATTTAAAAAATATATTATATTATTTTTAAATTTTAAATTTTGTCGTATCTATATTATTGTATCATATATTAAATATGATACATATGTTTATATCCGTGCAACCTAGGGTGCCGTAGTCTTCCTCAACTCTTTAACTCCCACAGGTGATTCCATCACCTTTGACCCAAACCAAAAACAGAAAGAAAATATTAAAAAACTAGAAGACCCATCCGGACGAGTCAGAAAGGGTGGAGGAAGGAGCTGTGCTGCCTTAAAACGGTGGCGCTTTATTAAATCACATTTAAACTGATTCAGATATACCACACTATTAAAAAAAAAAAAAAAAACTGTAGTGTTGCGAGACACGTGACGTTTTCACAAACAAACAGTGGAATTTTCTTTGTGCTTTTGAGTCCGTCCGAAAGTTGTGGTTGGCTTACAAGTTACAAAGTCCACAAAATAAAAAACAAGAAAGAAAGAGATTGTTCATCTCACAAGTGGACCCGATTTGCCAAATCATCATTTTCTAAATATAATACTAGTAAAAAACAAAATTAGGGAATTTAATATTCAACCACATCCACATAGGCTTGTTAATGTCGTGACTTGTTGGGTGATCCGTGTATCGGATATTTTAATATTAAATTATTATTATATGTATTTAATAATTATGCCATGTCAAATTTATATTGAGTATACGGAATCGAGATTCCTTATATCTACATGTAAACAATAGGACAAAACTGAAACTACTGGATATACATTAACCCGTCAACCAGGAAAAAAGCAGAGGCTTGACCATAGTACCATAAAAAATAAAAATAAAAATAAAAATGTCTTGCTATATTTCCAAAATTTATTATTTTAAATAATATTTTTATAATTTTTGTAGTTAATTTACCATTTTTGTAAATAGTTTTATTATTATTATTATTATGTGTGTTTATATCACATTTATAGTAATTATTTTTATCTTTTTTTTTCGACACAAAAAATTATTATTTTGTGAGTGATTTATCGTATTTATAGGTATTTTTATAACTGTTATAGTAATTATTATTATTTTTTTAGGTATTAAAATAATAATACAAATATTCACAAATATACCGGAATTATCGACTCCAAAAAGCAGTCAGTGATTCTACAGCTCTCAGTAGTTTGTCTTATTGGGTTGCGTCGCGTTGGTTTGAAGAAGTAAATATTGAACCGTAATTGTCGGGTCATTAATGATAGCTGAGGACATATAGAGACATTCGAGTAAGCAGGCAGCTTCCGGGTTACACCCATTGACGGGGCATCTGGGAATCAAATTATTGTGTGCATTTTCAAATTTGTGTCCAATATTGATCATATTCATCAACCGTGTCATTTTCCGATGGACATGGATGACCATGAATCCTAAATCCAAACCTAAGTACTGATTTTATCCCAAATGCTCCCTATACATTAAAAATTTATCTAATCTATTTACTAACAAAATTTAAGTAAACATCTATATCATAAAATAATTTACAATTTAAATCTCAAAAGATAAACAAAATAACTTTTGTTATTCGCGGTTAAGATCGTTTTAAATTTTATTTTAAAGTTAATCTAACAGCTAATATTAACACATTAAATTTCATAAGAAAAATAGGCCTCTAAGAGTGTGTTTTGAGTGACTTTTTAAAAATACTTTTAGAAATCATTTCTCATAAATACTTTAAAAAAAATTGTGTTTGAAATCGTCTCACCACTACCTCTACCACCATCACTCCCACCACCACCACCACCATCGCCATTGCCCAGTCACCACCATCGCCATTGCCCAGTCACCACCACCACCGCCGCCGCTGCCACTGCCGCCATCATCGTCGCCGCCACCATCCTTACCTCCACCTCCACCACGATCGCCATCGCCCTTGCCACCGCCTCCGCCACCATTGTCGTCGTAACCACCAGCGCCATCGCCACTCCCATCGTCGCCACCACCCCAACCTCCACTGCCGTCGTCGTCGCGGTCGCCACTATAACTATGGTCATTGCCACCCACCACAACTATCACCGCCTCCTACCACCACCACTGTTGTCCACCACTTCTCACCCCCTCTACAAATCGATACTTCAATTCATTTATCTTTTTTCTATGTTTTTTATTTGATTTTGAATATGAATATAAATATATTTATTATTTACCATTTTTTATTACTTTGCGCCTTCAGACACAGGCAATAACTAGTATATATAATAAAATATCTTACAATTTAAATCTCAAAAGATAAACAAAATGATTTTTACTATTCGCGGTTGAAATTGTTTTAAATTTTATTTTAAAGTTAATCTAACGATTACTATTAACACCTTAAATTTAATAGAAAAAATAGGGCTTTAATAGTGTGCTTGGAGTAATTTTTTAAAAGTATTTTTAAAAAAAATTTCTCATAAATATTTAAAAAAAAAATAATGTTTGAAACTGCCCCACCACTACCACTAGCACAGCCGCCACTACCACCGTCGTTGCCATCACCGCCACCACCACCATTGCAGCAGTTGCCACCACCACTGTCGTTGTCATCATCGCCACCACCACCGACCCTATCGTCGCCACCACCATCGTCGCTATCGTCACCACCACCATCGTCGTTGCTACAGTCATTGCCACCCACCACAACTATCACCATCTCATACCACTACCACTGTCACCCACCACCTCTCACCCCCACTATAAACCCGATGTTGAAATTTTTTTATCTCTTCTCTATATTTATGATTTGATTTTAGATATAAAAATAAATATGTTTATTGTTTATTATTTTTTATTATTCTGTGCCTTCAGGCACAGACAATAACTAGTCTATATAATAAAATACAATACAATTCAAATTTCAAAAGATAAACAAAATGATTTTTTCTTTTTGTGGTTGATATTTTTTAAAATTTTACTTTAAGGTTAATCCAACGACTAATATTAACACTCAAAATTTAATAGGAAAATAGACCATCAAATGTGTGTTTGTCGTGACTTTTTAAAAATGCTTATAAGATTTATAACTTTTTATAAGGACTTTAAAAAAAATAGTGTTTGAAATCACCCTCACTATCTTCACCGTCATTGCCACCCTACCACCACTATTACTCTCACCCCCTACCCCCATAACCATCACCATCACCACCACCCTACCACTATCGCTCATGTTCTATTATCACACTTACCACCATCACCTCCATTGTCCCACAACCACCCCCCACGACCATCACCATTACCACCCCCCACCTTCACTCCCACGACCATCACCACCGCCACAATCACTATTGTCACCCCACCCCCACCATCACCACTGTCCCACCCTTACCTGATGGCTCCCATTATCACCATCGCCACCCATCAACGATTACTACCACCGCCATCATTTATCACCATTGTCATCTCATTTTATATTTGTTACTACTATCACCATCATCCCATTATTACCGTTGCCCATCACCACCATTGTTGTCCACCACCACCCATCACTATCATCCACTTTCATCACACCTACCACCACCACCACAGCTATTCGTCACCACATATCATACTGTCGCTTATAAGCACTTGTCATCACCCACCACCACCATAGTTGTCTTACCACTACCACAACTAACCATTATCACTACCGCCTATCACCACCCACATTCATTACCACCATCATCATTATCGCCATCACTCATAATTGTCACTATCACCATCATCACCCAAAACTCACAACCATCATCATCATTTGTCACCTACGATTGCTATCATCACTATGGTCATCGTCACCCACCACGACCATCACCATCTCCAACCACTACCACTGTCACTCACAACCACTATCACCGCTTACTCCCATTATAATTGGTGTTTAAATTTTTTTTTCTCTTTTATATTTGTGATTTGATTTTGAATGTGAATGCAAATAAATTTATTATTGATCATTTTTTTTACTACTTCGTGTCTTCAAGCACAGAAAATAAGTAGTAAATTTATAACATACAATATCTATAAAGAAATAAAAATAATCAAATATTTTCTTATACAATATAATTTAAACAAGTTTGTCATGCCAAAATCATCTAAACCTACTTGTTTATTATTCATATTAGTGAATCCCATTATTTTTGAATGCCATCGAATACGTATTGTATCAACAAATTGTGCTAAAAATTATCACTTTTTGTGCATGCATTTTAAAACTTAAATAGTTATTGATCATATGATAGTAATATCATGAATAACTATTAAAACATTGTAACAAATATTTATATGGATTTGAACACCTTCCATAAGCATCGGGTTGGTGCGTGGGTTACCCCGCCAAGTCCACGTAAAACAAACATTTATCTTTTTTTTTTTTTTTGTTTAACGGTTAAGGATATCGGAGTCAACTTACGCGCGTATCTCAGTTAATCTTCTCTCCGATTTGGTTAAAAATAAATCATTCATACCGAAATTAAAATATTCATTTAAGATAAATCCATAATCATCTAGTCCTAAGAGATTGTTAAGATTCGAATTAAAATCGTTTGAATTCAT